AAACAATATACTGACAGTCTCGTATTACATTGTGATGTACCTTTAAAGATTTTTATGGGTTTTAATATAGCCCCTCTATACATTACGTAGACAGCACCTGTAGCTTACTTTATGTATACAAGATATTTATTTGTCCATATCTTTTTTTTATTACGAGTAAATGATGGCAATGTACTATCTACTATGTAATAACTATGTCGTACTGTACTATTTTTCATAGTAATCTTATCGCTTGATAAAAAAAAAAAAATGTTTAACAGTGTTCTCCAAAAAAGCCTAACGTGGGCAAAGAAAAGTAAAGAATCTCATAAGATGCTATATTAAAGTAATAGTAAAAGTTATCATGCTAAGTTAAAGTACATTAGAAAGTATTGTAAGCAAATATTGTGTACATTTTTAGATACTCATTGGCGCAATATGCAAGTTTTATTTGATTTTGATTTATAGTATCAAAATGTTGGCTGGAATATTAGTTTGGTACAAGATCTTGCCACACATATGACATGAAAACTTAGTTGCATACTTTTGTTTTTATTGATTTTTAGGTATAACATTTTTGGAAGTATTTACTTTGGAGTCAAAACTTTCTTTGTTATTTGAATTCTGTCTGATACAATGGTTCTACGATCTCCATGTCTACTTAATAGTTACTCAACAAATAAAACACCATTGTGTTATTGATTAAAAATATATTCGATCCTTACCTTTAAACGAAGCTGTAGCAGGTTGACTGGGGAAGACCGGGGGTGGCTTCTGATGCACTGGCTGCTGTTGGCGCAGAGTGATGATGGACGGCGGCGGTTCAAACTGCTTTTGCGGCGGCTGGTACTGAGGCTCCGAGTACTGAGGCGAGTACTGCGGTTGCGGCGAATACTGCGGCTGCCCCGTGTACTGAGGCTGAAGGCAAATAGACCATTTACTACTATACCGTAAATGTCGTATGTTAAATTTTGTACCTTTTTATAAGGGGTTCTAAGCTGTATAAGCAACTTTTATAGCTTACAATCTTCCGCATTAAGAATTATTAAATAGTTACTTTTCTGTCGATTAGTGACGCCCTGAGTAATCATTTACTAATTCTAAGTACGGCATTATTGCGAAGTTAATGTCAGCAACAGCGTGCAATAATTATAAATACAAATTATTTTCGATTCAACTTTACGATTGCGTTTAGTACTGCAGCACTTCAATCAATAGTCATTTGGATGTACTCCAAAGATCTGGATGAACAACAAAGTAGAATTACAGCATATTAAAATATGTTGAAATACAAATTTAAAATGCACGACATTTTTATGTCGCGATGATCTCAATATGGCAAGGCGTTATAAAGCAGAGCAAAAATATAAATAGCTAGCATAAGAATACTTACATCACATACCACGACAATTAATAAAAATCACTTGTTAATAATACATTTGCTATTATACCACAAAACGTCCATTAATTCATGTTAAGTCGATGAACGTATACATGTATTGCAAATGCGTAAGAAAGAAATGACACGACAAACGCTGACGACGATGCATTCTCTTTCCAAAGAGTACCTGTGGAGAAGTAGGAGCGGGCACCGGGGCCCAGCGGCTGTTCTGTTGGCGGTAAGGCTGCGGCGAAGGCGGGCCCTGGCGGTAGGGGGCTACAGGAGAGGCACCAGCGCCAAC